ACCTCAGTGCAGGGAAAAAAAAACCCCATCATTTTAGACTTGTGATAAATAAATTTTACTGGATGAACTGTGCCCTAAATATGGCCTTTTATAAGGTTGTGGTGAGCTCAGGCTCCTACTTGTTTATTTTCTGCTGCTTTTCTTAATTCCCTGTGTTTATATTGGGATCTAAAAGAGTAACAGCTGTTCTTTTATTTTCACTAACATAAAACCTAAGAGTTTCAAAACCCCTTTTGATCAATATAAGCACACAAAGATAAACATTTCATGTGTGTGTATATATATATATATATACACATAAATAAATATATACACAGAGTTATATATGTGCACATTAATGTAGCCTATTAAAATATATTCCATATTAAAATAATAATAAAAAATGAAAGAAATGCATTACAGTAACATGATGAAAAATTTTCAAGTATGGAGCATTTCGGCTTTGTAAAATCTATAGAAAAATGGATTTTTAATGTGATGCAGCTTATGGAATAGGACGTTAATGCATTGTAATAATAAATAAATAATAGATAAATCCCCAAGTCGTTTATTCCAGAAGAGAAGCCACAAGGTGTCGCTGGGATGCAAATAACCAAAATACTGCAGTAAGGGGGCACCACCTCCGGCAAAAATGACAGTTTTCAGAATGGCTTTTGACTGAAATAACCTTTGGAACGTGTTGCATTTCAGGCTGTGTGATTTATGTGCCCCAGCAATATTTTTCCTTGCTCTTTGTGAGCCTTGATGCCAATGGTTTAGATTCTCTACCGATATATTTAGGAAGGCGTCCACAAGAACCCTGTAAGTATTTTAATAAGAAATGTAATTTATCTTACCAAGGACTATGATTTAAAAGGACTTTTATGGACAGTGGACTAATGCTGAATTCTCCATTCCCAAATAACTCCCTGAGGGGATCCCTCCCAATTAAATGTGGTCCCTTCAGCTAAGAACAAACCAAATAACTGCATTTTCTGGTCATCATAACAACTTCAGTGATTGGAAGCAAATTGCTGCTCATCAGAAGTATTTTCCTTTAAAAAATTCCACTAAAGCCAAGAGATGGAAGTGAAAGAACTGTGGCTAATCCTATGGAAATCCAGGAACAGGGAGTTTGCTGATGGATAGACTTTCTCTGGAATTCACACATTTGTTATTTACACTATGTCCACGTGTGGTTCAATTTTCTCTCTGGCCATGGAACAATAAAACTGGATAAACTACAGCATGCAAAGTGCCAGGGAATGGAGAATACACTGAGATCATAACTGGTTTATTAGCACTGTGCCACTCCTTTCTTTGACACCAAACAGAACCAGGATGGAGCTGGGAATGTCCGTGATGCTCTCCGTGATGTCATCAGGTCATGGATGTTGCACCTCTGGAGCACAAAATCCTTCCTTCTCTCCTTCCATTAAGGAAATAAATCCCTTATTCTTTCGTGGGTAATGCAACAGGATTGAATGAACATTTCCCTAACGGGATTTCCCTCAGCTTCAGCTGCTCGCACACCCATAAACATTTGCATTTTATGGTGATTCTCATGGACAATGTAATTTTCTCTGCAGAATTTCCTCCAGCACGATTCACCTCAGGACCTGACGTGCAGCTCTGAGAGGGTGTTTGACCATTTTTATTGTTTTACACACAAATGCAATGGTCAAGGAATGAGCCTGCTCCTGCAAATCCAGAGCAGAGTCACTGGGTAGTTTAACCTATTTTCTTGATTTTTAGGGAAAATTTGAAAGAGGTTTCTCTAAAAATCTGTCAAAAGTAGTCAAAGAGGTCAGAAAATATGGAAAATCCACATTTTTGTTGCCTGCAAGTAGAGCAGGTTTGTTTACGGAAAACTCTTAAAATTGCATTCCTAGATAAAGCTCCATTTTCAGCATGGTGTGGGATAAAACAAATGATCATGGTTTAAATAATAAAAACAACTTCATTTTTGATGGATTTTTTTTTACCATAACAGGTAGAATTTCTGGGAGTCCAAGTCTCCTCCTGTCCAAATTCTCTGCCCTCTGTGCACCAGCAGAACCTGCTACAGAGTCTGGGCAAGAGTTTGCAGATAAGTAAACAAATAACATAGAAAACCTATATTGAAGAAATCTCCCCATTCAGATATCTCAGCTTTAATGGGTTTAACAATCCCAGGCCCTGCCCCTGGGAGGTTTCCCTCTGGAATTTGCTCCCTCTGGCACTGGGACAGGGAGAGCTCTGCCAGCTTTCAGAGCACTGCAGGGCCAACCATCCCCACCAGGACTTGGCTGCCCAGTGCCAAACAAAGGCTGATTTTCCCAATCATTGATTTGTTTCCTGATGGATGCTTAATTGGAGTGGGGCTGACCACTGCGGGCATTTATAAATTGAGGTATGTTTTTATGTAAAATCCACCCAGTCTGGACTAAAACACTTCTGAAACCTCCAGATAACAAAGAAATCCAGAACATGGCACACCTGGAGCTGCATTATTGAGCAAGGGCTGCTTATTTAAAAGCAGAAGCAGCAAAACTCAGCAACTACTCTTTGATATCTTCAGTACTTTGGTTTCTACATGTGCACAGAGTAGATTTGGGATAAATTAGTGGCTTTGCATTTTGTGTCACCTGTAGAAATGGGCAGTGTCCCCCTGCCCTGCAGATGAACTGGCTGTTTCTCAAGAATGGGAAATAATTTCTTACATTAGGAAAGACTGTTCAAAAGTGAAAGGTTTGTTTTAACAGACTGATCTTACTCCTAGCAAAACCCAGCTAAAAATTAACTGTGCATGAGGAGTTATCTGCTTTAAATTCTACAAATGTGTTTCATGGTTTTCCCCTAAAACTGGGAAGATTTATGGGTATTTGCAAATGGAATCTTGGGCAGAAAATCAGGTCCCCTTTACCTGCCCTAAACTGGCACAACAAGGCAATTTTAAGGGTCTGATTAACTGAGAGGAAAACCAACAGATATTGCAAATATTCTAAAGAAATATCTCTGATTTTCGCAGGATTTTTTTGCTCAAGTGCAATCCATAATGTAAGCATAGGCTAAGGAAAAGAAGATTAATGTGGAATAACATCTTGTTGCCCTCAATAAAGGCTGAATCCTTCTGGAATAACCTAAACTAAGAAGAACCGACCAGAACTCCACCATCCCAGAATATTATCTCTGCATTCACCCAAAATTCTGGTTTAAGAGCAAAACTGCCTTTCCATGGACATGTGAGTGACAGCATGACTGAGGAATTTAGGAACCTTCTAAAAATGCTCCTTGGATCCTGCTTCATTCTGGACACAGGTGGGCAGGTTTTCTTTGGGAATTATTGGGAATTTTATTTACATCCAACCAACAGCCAGCTGCTTTGGATGACAGCAGTAACAGTGAACCCTCCTCCTCCCCTGGCTGCTCTGGGATCCAGGACAGACTACCCAAGACCTTACATTTTTTCCCCAAAATGTGAAATATCAACTGTGAATCTATTCATATGACAGCCATGTCTATTACTACTTTAAATTTTGATTTGTGTTGACTTGTACTGACTGAATAACTCTAAATTTACCTCTTTGCTTCATTTTAATATCTGCATAATCTGTTGCTCCTAAAAGGAACTATTTTGGCAAAAGGTGATTTATTTTTTCCCCTTCTTTCTCTCTCAGTGCCCTTTACAATGGACTTGAGTCATGTTGGATGGAAACTTCTCCATTGTATGTGGTTCTGTGGCTGAAACAATTTTGTGCTTAGTTTCAAGTGGCTGCAACATAAATAGAAGCCACACCACTTATTTTTTCATGTGGGATGGGGTATTTTTATATCTTAAAGCATGATGAGGTATTTGAAGAACAAATTAGTCACTCTGCCTCAAGAACTGGTCTGTCTGAGGTAGGCCACAAAATTGTTCTCAAATTGTTTACCTGGTGTGGAGCCTGCTGGGAGCAAAAATAGATCCTTGATTTAGGCTTGGTATTTAGCTATTTAGGCTTGGTAATTCCTGGCTTACAGTTTGGCTGGTTCTGGTGTTCAGCTGATGCCCGTGGAGTGAGGAGGTCCAGGGCAGCACCAAAACCCTTCACAGATCATGGGCAGGGTGGATTTGATTCTATTTCACCCACAGCCTCTCTGCACAAACTCTTCTAGTTCCTTACCACCCTTATTCTAAAGAACTGATGTCTAATCTAAATATCTTTCAGTTTAAAGCCATCCCCCTGCCACTCAGTCCCTAAAAAAAGGGATTATAGACCCCTCTTAAGTACAGGCCCCTCAGGTCAGCACTTGTTACTGGCCTCTATAATTCCACCCAGTTTCTTACCCATCCAAATCCACCCAGCAAATCCACACCTCTCCCAGCTTTTCTGTTCTCAGAGCCTTTTACAAAAACACCACGCTCCCCAAAGTTATTAAAAGGATCACTACAATAACCCCCCCATTTTTAAAGCATGGAAATAAAAACACAAAGGTGGTTCCTGGAAGCCAGCTGGGCCAGGGGCAGAATTCTTCATCCACACACTTTAACTGTCAGGCCATGCAAGATAAAATAAATGAAATATGCTTCTATTTGCAACCTTTGGCCCATGACTTCTACTATGCTGAACATATTTCAGAGGCTTCCTAGATTTCTAAGGTATTTTCATGAATTGCAGCACATTAAAAAAAATATAACATCATTAATTTCTCACAAGAACAAGAATTATCCAGTATTATTTTTAACATCATCAGGACAAGGGTTTTCTATGACAGTGCTCCTTAGTATCTCCATGATATTTTATATATGGGACTGAAAGGAAGCAGTACAAAGCCTGGTAATTCCCTGAACCCACGGGCAGAAACACAGCAATATTTGCACTTCTTGATTACACCTGGAGACAATCTCTTTGAATATAACAAACTGAGAAAATGTGTTGGTAAGTTCCCAAATCCTTGAGGTTCCACAGGTGTCCGAATTCTTGGAGGAAAACTTTGTGCTTAAAATGACAGACCAAGATGCTCTATTTTAATTGAATTTAAATTAAATTTTATCCTACCTGAGGCTGCTGAGTGGCAGTGGGTCTCTGAGGAGATGGAATAGGAGTTTTGGACAACATTTGGTTCATTTTGCTTACGACTAACTCGGTGATGTGCTGCCTGTCTTCAGCCTGGTGCTCCCCAATCAGGGGCATGGCACAGTCCATCACCTGCAAAATGCAACAGGACATCAGTGCTGGGAAGGAAACTGCTCCTCACCCTGCAGGAGGGCAGGCTGTGTATTTACAGCAGTGCTTTTAGCAGGAGTACACAAGAATTGCAGGCATTATATGTGTTCCTTCAGAAAATAAACAAGAGAACAGCAACTTTGCAACGTGATCCCCTCCCCATCTCCCACAAAATGCGAAGAGAAAGAACCTTCCAGAAAAAGCTTCACTTCACACCTGGGCACACACCTTGGGAACAGGGAGAGGAAGCACAGGGCTGACAAGGACAATGAGATTTCTCAGGCTGTGCAGTGATCTGCAGGAATTTCAGCTGAGCTTTCCTCCCTTCCCTGCTTTTGGGGCTCACTCCACGTTCAGGAGCTGAATTACCACAGGGAAATGCAGAGTTCAACTTCAGCTCCCTGGCACTTTGTGGAGTTTTGCTAGAGAAATCTGGATCCTTATTGATTAATGAAAAACTTTAAATAACACCTTCTTATTATTGATAACCTTTTTAAAAAAGTAGTGTGGCTGCAAAGAATAGGTAAGAATTTCTACAGAGAAATTTCTACAGGATGGCAGAGAGGCAGATAAAAATGGGCACATTTCCATTCCAAACATGACAGGTTAATAGTGCTCTGTGGTTATTTATCAGAGCCATTCCGATGAATAAAACTAACACTGAATTCTGCCACTTCAGTGGGCCCCAAGCACTTGTTATTTCTCCAGAATATTTGTTATTTCTCCAGTGTATCCACTTCTGCCACATCTGTGTTTGTTTCAGAGGAAATAAAAGCCTAACATAACCCCAGCTATTATTCACAAGGGCACTGGGTATTCCTACTTGGAAAAATAACAGGATTTAATTTACTTTTGAGAAACTGCAATTCTTTTTGCATGTGCATCAGGGCGTGTCCATGTCACCTGCAGTGCTGCACTCTGGTGTTTCCCACAGGTCTGGGTGGAAGAATTTTGTTATCTGAGGGGTGCACAGGGATCAGTCTGAAGAGCAGGAACCCACCCACATTGTGTGGATCCCTCCTTAGCTGGAAGGGATGGGGGCAGCAAAACCCTTCTCAATCCCCCAGCCTCCACAGAACATCTCCTTTATTAACAAAGAACAGAGTTTTGCCTTCCTCCTTTTAGGTTTTCAAGGGTTTCTAGGAATTATACACAGAAGTTGGGTGTTTACAGGGATATTTGGATTTAAAAGAACCTTGCAGTAGTTGGGAAGATATAAATAATATAAATCTTGAGCTTTTCAAACTATGGTGAGAGCTATAGAAATTCTTCCTGAGTGGCAAAGGGAGATTTTGTTCCAATAATGGGATTAGCTTGAAGTCCCAAATCATTTCCATGATTCTTCTGTTTGTTCATTTACAAGATTCACTGGCATTGTGTGTTGGCAACCAAAATGTTGGCAGTGCTTGTGCTGGGATTTTCAGATCTAGGAGGTCTCTGAGCTTCCTCACAGCCAAAAGTCTTGAAAATAACCCCAGGGTAAACAATGCAACAATAATTGAACTCCAGAACAAATGTTTCCTTAGAAATGAATGACTGGTTTTGACTCTAGGGCCACATCAACAGCAGTGAAGAGATGTTTAATAAGCACACTGAAAGGTTCCTTAAAGTTTACCATGTGTTTTAACACTCATAATTTAAAGCGGAACGTGCCAATGTTTTCCATTAATTGAGAGAAGAGTTGATCAACCAATAAGAATTGATATTTCTGAAGGGGTAAAATGTAGCCTTGCAGGTTGTGTGCTCTTTAATATTCATTTCTGCTCACTTACTGCTATTTAAAAAATTGTATAAACACGTTAAAGATCCACTTCCTTGCATCCTGAGCTGTTTCTTGTGAGAGGAATTTGCATGGTGCCTGGAGGGACCCAAAGTGCCAGGACTGTGAAGTGTTAATAATGACAGAATATAGAATGTTTTGGTGTGTAGGGCATTGGAGGTTTGGTTCTCCACTGCAAACCATCTGATTTTCAGAGCAGGAGTGATGTTTGGGCTCTAAAAAATCGGTTTTAATGAGAGCTATTTTTAAAAATGTGCACCATAGGGTGTAGATGAGTCCCCCTCTTACCCAACATCAGTTAAAAGTTTCCCAGGCAAAAAAACCCTCCCTTTTTTTACCATGCACTTACATTAAAACAATTACTTGGAATGACTGTGACATAAATTGCCTCCAATAAGGTCCTGCCAAAGGATTAGGCAGGATTAAGACATGGAGGATTGGGTTTGGACTGAACTTCTGCTCTCAAGTACTTCTACAACTGCAAGTTCACACATCAGCTTCCTTTGGGAGGTGCTGCCATGGTGTGTAGCAGAACTGGTGGGAAAAGTGAAAATAAGGAGCCTTGAGGTGTCAGATCTTTGTGTCCACTCCAGCAGAGAAGTTGTTACACTCTTTGAATGAAGAATTTTCAGGCATAGCCACAAATTGAGGCACATTCAAATAGGTTTGGAATTAAACCCAGAGCCATTTGCCCTTATCAGTCTCTTATCACTTGGACAGGTTTTGACCTTGTAAAAATCCTTGGGTTTGTTGCCACAGGGGCACAAATATTGTTGGCCAAGGATGTGGCAACAGAGCACCTCTGCCATTCCCTGGCAGAGCAGCTGAGATCCAGGTGGATGCTTTATACAGTGAATTTTGGTGTATTTTCTTTTCCTTTCAGAGAATACAGTCAATTTTCATTCCTAGTACAAGATTTAATGACAACTGGTTTATATTTTGATTTTATATAAATGTATCTTAAGAATATTTTGGGCAACACCAACAGCTTTTAAATCCTGTGAGTGACTACAGGAATGTCAGGCTGGCATTTCCCCCCCTCAGAAGATTTGACAAAGTTTAAACATGCACAAAGCTCCCTGTTTATAAATAGTCTATTTACAGCCTGTGCTAGATTTAAAATCCCATTTAAACCCAGCCAGTTTTTAGTTCAGCATATAGTTTAGCTATTTAAAATACTGGAGTTTCCCACTAAGAGGATTTCACAGAAAAAAAAAAAAAGGGATCTGTAATTTATAAAATCAAATACATTCCTTTTGCAGATGCCAGTAAAAACATGGGCCACTATGAATTACAGTCACTTAATTCATATCACTGTGAACTTGCATTTTTGAATCAATGCACTTTCATTTCAGTAGCCAGTTCTTTGGGATGAATTTCTCTTATCACCCAGGGACTGACTGTAAATATTAGTGGGAAAGGTGAATAGCTAAAATTTGGGGTAGAAGACTGAGACTGGCACAAAGAAGAGAAATTCTGTAATTAGGAAGAGAAATGGGATGGGATTTCTAAAGGAGCCAGAGCATTTATAAGATACCAGTAATTGCAAAGGGATCATGGTGTTTGAGGGAGAAATTCCCACTGCTACTGCCCACACCCAGTTCTGCTGCTTACCCCCAAGGAGCAGGATGTGCTGGGCAGAGATTTGGGAAGGCCTGGGAAGGGCAGAGCTGGGGAGGTTAAAGGAAGGACAAAGGTAAAGAATCCTATGGATAAAGTGGGAAAAGGCATTTCCCAGGATGCTGAAATACAAGAGGAACATGATGGAGCAGCCAGGGGGCTGTCAGTGCTCAGGGAGTCTGGCAGGATAGATGGATCTCCTGAGGGAAAACCCCAGGAATTCCAGGAGAAAACAGGATAAATGGTAAGTACAGAGGAAGGGGGAATTGAATCAGGGTGATTTTGAAGGTCCATGCTTGGCAGGGTGAGAACTGGGCAAAACCATTCCCTTTGGTGTGTGAATACAGCAATGTTCCAGAGCAGAAATGATGAGAGACTTCTGAGTTTATCAGCAATTACAGCTGGATTTACCTCCCTCCCTGAGCTGAGCAGAGGAACTCATCCTGGGAGGGAGGACAGGAGAAGTAGCTGAGGTTCTGAAGGATTTGAGGCCAAGAGCAGAACTTTCCAAACAATTGTGCACAAACACTGTTTCTTCATTTCCTCTGTTGGTTTTCAGTGAAAGTTTTCTTGAAATCCTTTCTAAGACAAAAACACCACTTGGGAGCTAATTTTAATTTAGCTCAGGGTGAAATGAAGCAAGTGGGAAAGACACCTGCAGCAGCCCATTTAATCTAAAACAAAATTTGGGGGACTTCTGGGAGGCCACTCTACAGGATTCTCTTACATTTGTTCTCTTTTACTGCTCTGATCACCATACTCTGAGCTTTTATTTAGTTTCCCAGATCTTTGCTTTTCCAAGAATGAAACAGGAAAGATAATATTCAGTGGGATCAGAAATATAAACAATGCTCTGCTCTTTCTAGTACTGAAACCTCAGAAGTGTTAATTTAAAAAAGGAAAAAGTCCTTATATTTAAAAAGTTAAAAGTTTAATGGACCTTGATTTGATGTCTCATCAGGAAGAAGAGGGGAGGCAGTTAAATAGCTGCATGTTGCAGTGATGTGTTAATAAAAATCCTGTTTCTACAGCTTGTCTGATGCTTGGCAGCTGAGAATTCCCATTGAGGGGGAAAGAACAGACACCAAATGAAGAGATGAGGCTGTTACACAGAATCATAACTTGGCCTTCATCCTGATCAACCTGACAGCCCCTCTGCTTAGCTGAGCCATCCTTTAATTAGTTCATTCCTCCCTAGGAGGAGTTGGGAGCCAGTTCCTTGGAGTAGGACAGGAAGAAACACTGTGTTCCTCTGGAGGAGGCAGTTTTGTCCAGGGAACCACATTTAGAAAACCTGTTCTGTTAAAAGGCAAAGTTACCTCTTACATCCCCCACCCAAACATCTGCAAAGAGCCCAAATCTCCGCAGAACAACACAGGTGGTTTTGTGTTTGAATAATGATAGCACTTCTGTATCTTGTCCTCTTCAGCAAAAGTAGTCTGGATATCTGAAGAAAACTTGGGTAGAATGCTCCCCTAATTCCCATTCCCCCCCAGGGTGGGTGACACACACCTGTGTCTTCCTCCTGGAGGTGACACTGGCTGAATGTGCCAAGCGAAAATCAGGAAGAACAAATCTGCCAGCATTGTTTCACTCATTAGGGAATCTGTGTGTTCCTTGTCAGGTGAGCTCTGCAGGATTAAGGTGTCAGTGGTACCCAAACCCTCGTTTTTTTCCTAGTTTTATCCTCATTTTTTGCTTCTTTTTTCCTCCTGGCATCCCTATGGAAACACGAGGCCACAGCTCCCAGAATGGAGCTGCAGCCCAGGATTTCTGGACTGTCTGTCCTGCTCAGCTCCCTTGAGTGCACCATGCACGTGCCAGTCTTAATAACATTTATTTTCCCATGCTGAAAGGACACAAAAGGAGAAAATTCTCCCAATCTTGGTGCAGACAGTTTTCCATTCCTTATTGTAAAAATTGCAGTATAAGAACTGTTGATATCCTAATTTTTCCAGATGTTCTGGTGGATGTGAACTTTGCAAACAGCCCCACATTTCAATGCCTTTTACAGATTCTAAATGTCCTTGCTGATGAGCATGCCCATCTCCAGGACAATTCAGCTGATTCCAGACAACAGCAGGAATTATCACACTTCCATTCACTCTTTTTTTTTTTTTTTTTTTTTTTTAATTGCAAGGTCTATTCTGCACCCTGATGAAAATGCTCTGTAAAGTCAGCTCCCAATGGATCCTGCAGCTCTGAGAATTCTGGGCTTCAGAAATGATGGCTGTCTGTGGCATGGAAAATCAGGGGATTTGTTGAACAGCAGGAAGTGAGGCAGTCTTAGTCCATTATAGAATTTGCAGTGGTTATTTCATTTTTAAAAAGATTTTCCTTTTTGCTTTATCAACTTTTTTTGGAGTGAGGAGATTCTGGAGATCCTTGCCCACCTACTGAATAAAATTCTAGGAAAGTGGAAGATACTGAAGAAATTGTAATAGGAAAGTGATGATAGCTTGTTTTATGGCTACACAAAGTGATATTTCTCCATAAAAATACTCAAAGGGAATGAAAAACTTCAACTTTTCAAAATTACCTACAGCAGAAACTTCTGATTCATGAGGATTCAGATCTTCAGGGCAATATTTAGGCTACAAAAAAAGTAAGTCATTTCCACTTCGACCTTAATCTCCCTTTCCAGGGCAAGGTATAATTTTGTTGGGGTTCCCTTGGGATGGTGCTATCTATAAACCTTCCTGGAAAAGCTGCTAAGGCTGCTCAGGAAAGAAATCATCAGGGCTGGCAAAATGTGCCATCCACATTTGGCTTTGTTTTGCAGTTTGTGTACATTTCCTCCAACACCAAAAGACATTCCCATCTATAGGGTTACATTTTCCAGCAAGTTCTGCCACTAATTTGGACCTGTGGCTTTGTATCATGATTGAAACAGTGCTCAAAAATACACAGCCTTGCCTGAAACACAAATAAGCCAATGCCCAGCTATCAGAAAGGTTCTTTCCTTGGCTGTTTGTAATAGCTAAAGGGAAATATTGAAAAAAAAGCAAAAGCAGGATTTCTTACCTCAAAAATATAATCTTTTCCATCCTTCCCATGTACAGCTTTAACAGCACAGATGTCCAAGCCACCAAATATTTCAGAACAGGTGTCAACCCAAAGCTTGTACCTGTTTCACAAAAATAATTTGTTCTGTGAGTGTCTCATCAGGCTCTTGATTTTCTAGAGGCTTACCCAATAATGTATGTAATATTACATTCACCCTCAATTCAGAATTTTCACTACATTGGATGGGTCTGGTTCCTGTGTCAGGAAAATGAGTGAGAGGCTCCATCCTAGATCGTGGCCCAGCTGTTTCCTAAAGGAGCCAGGCTGGTTTTATTCCTACAGCACTGAGCAAAAGGAGAAAGAAACCCAGGCAGGAAAACCCTGCAGGTGATGCAGAAGGACCAAAAATATGACATTATGTGGGTTGTGGAGCATGCAGATAAGGGTTATGTTCTTCATGTAGGGTTACAGACAACTGCAGCACAACTCAAATGGAATTTCAATAATTCCAAGGAATTCTACAACTCCTAAAAAGGCAATTTCATACAGAGTTGAGCACAAAAATTATTCAGTATATTTTGTAATGTCATGGTGAGAGACTGAGGATGGACTCTTTACCCACCCTACAAGCAGCAATATGATTTATTTTCCTTTTTTCTCCATGAATAAAGAGATTATCTGACCAACAAGGGGGTGGGGAAGGATTTATTTAGAAGAAGAGTGAGGTAATTCCTGTGAATCCTGTAGCACAAGCTCTGAGAGCCCAAAGGCAAGGGCTGAATCCCAGGACAGCAAAGGCACTGGGAATGTTCAGTGACTCCCAGCAGGGCTGGGCAGGGAGGAAATGATCCTGGAATGATGCAGGGTGATGTCACCAACTGAAGGGCATGATTTGCTAAAAAAACCCCCATTTTTAAAGCATTCATTTATCATGAATTTTCCTCTTAGCTCACTCTTGAGTCAAAAGAAGAGCTATTTCCTCTTCCAGCCCCTCTCCTGCTCCAGCCCTGGAGCCCTGATGATGGATTTGCCACCTCATAGTATTTTCCACTGAAAAAAACCCTGCTGTAATAAACAAAACATTTGATTTTGTTGTGGGATCAAAGGAAATTCCTTCCTGGGCTGAGAGTCTGATTCATGTATAAATATCTTCAGTAACAGCATCCTTTCCAAGTAAACTTATTAAGTCACATTCTTTATATTTTCTTATATCAAATCTGTTCCAATGGAAAAGCTTTTCTTTCAAGCAGAATACAAAGAAATTGATTTGAAAAGATCCTGATGGTAATATCTTAGCAATGAAAATAATTTTTTTTCCTGTGAGAAACATGGTTTTTGTCCAATATAAGAGGGTTTTTTGGATGCCTGACAATTTCAACATCTGTAGATGCACTGGCTGACTGGACTTTTTGCATGCACTTGCTTATAAATAACTTTTTTTCTTTTGGCTGTAAAATATTGTGTATCTTAGAAAGTCACGAGGACAACAAAACTTCTCTTGAACAGTAAATATCTGGACTTGAAATGGAAACAAAACCGAGGACATTTTCTCTAAAACACTGCAGCATCAATCAGATTTATGAAAGTATATTTAATAGCCCATCTTCTGCCAACAAACACAGAGCTGGAAAAATCCATTTGGAAAGAGAGGTTTTGGAGGGAGCAGCCTGGAGTGTTTGAAACCCAAGGCTTGCACAGTAGGTTTGACGAAAGGTCACGGGGCCTCTTTTCCCAGAGCCAGCGGGAACAGCAGCAATAAAGGAGAAAGGATAAAGATAAAGGATTGCTCCCAGGGGGAAATACCAGGTGTGCCAGGTGAGGTGGGCACAGCTGGCACAGATGTCTGGGCAGCAGGAGCTCTGGAACAGGGGTAAATGAAGAATTGTGACCCTGAAATGTGCTGCTCCTCTGCCTCTCCCTGTCCCTTCCTGCCACTCTCTTCTTTCTTCTCTGAATTTCTCCCCTGAGATTTGTGTTCAGCCAACAATGCCCACCAGGCAGTGCTTTCAAGGCACTTCCTCCCCATCCATGGGTGTATTAAACCCAAAATTCAGCAGATCTGATGGGTTTTGCTGTGCTGTGAACCTGCTGCAGCCCTTCAGAAAAGGCTCTTTTCCCCCTGTGTGCCCTGCTCTGCTGTGAGCACCCCCACAGGAGCAGGGCTGTACCCCCCTTTCTCTCATGGAACACATCCACCTTTCCTGTGCTTTTGGCCCCACCAGCACGAAGGAAGTTTGGTTTTGTTGGCCGGTGTGTTCATGGGAAAACCCCCATTCTGCTCTATTGACTGCCACTGAAAAACAGGAGCAGGAGCAGAGCTCAGGGAGCATTTCCAGCATTTCCAGCAGGAGCAGGGCCAGGGGAGCATTTCCCATCCTCTGGCACTGCTTTCCTGGGGGCACAAGTGGAGTTTGTGTGTTGCACACAGCCCACGGGCTGTAATTACACAGCCCAGAGCTCACTCTGCCTCCCCGTCCCAGGGAAGACTTAACCTCACTTTCTAGAGGGAGGTGGGAGGAATGAGAAAGAGAAAATAATGTGGCTGCAGTCCATGCCCAGAGGGGAGATCAGTGAGGACACAGTCTAGACAGGGGTTGGACAGCAGGGAGCTGGAATTCCTGCCTTTCTTTCTTGTTTTCACCTTTCCAGGGCAGGCAATGGTTCTGTTCCTGCGTCTCCCTCAGTTTGTAAGAGGCACCAAGTTGTAGGTTCCAAGCTTTAAAAAAAAAAAAATAAAAAACCCAAACAAACAACCCCACAAGCCAGGACTACTGTTGAACTTTAAAGCACCTTTTAAATTCCACTTTCACTGCACAGACTTTATTTCAGCTTCCACTAGTGGCAGCCTTTGGAGAAGCTGAACAGCAGAAAATTCATAGCCATTCAAAAGCCTCTGAGATTTTGTTTTGCAGGGAAAAGAGGTTTATGGGTTGTGGAGCAAATGAGGGGGATTGAGAAAAAGAGTTCTGAGCTTCAAAGTGCTGCTGCATGAATGTTTTCAACTGGACTGGAGGAATTATCCAGGATAAGAATGGGAAAGAAAAGGAAAAACACTGTAAACCAAAGTACAGAGCTGGAATGATGGCACAGGGGAAATAAAGCTTCAGTGTATCCCAGCAACAGGGGAAAAAGCCTCACAGTGCACTTCAGTGGAAATTTATAAAATGAAAAGTAAGGAGTTTGGGATTGAAAGTAGAAAAGAGAAATGGGATTTAAATAGGCAACGTGCAGACTGGATTGCTGGGTTATGTAGGAGGATGGTAGGATGTAGAAGGAGGAAAGTTTAAAAGAGGTGCGAGACTGGTGGGTAAGAAAGGGCAAATGAACCAGGAGAAATGACTGACAGGCTGGATCTGTGAAATTCAGTTTTCTGAAGGGAATTCCAGACACTTTCTAGGAGCAGAGGTGGATGTAGGAACCCAAGGGCTCATGTAACCCCCAAGGCTGTGAGTGTGGCTGGATAACTCTGAAGCCACATGGAGCTCCTGGCTCTGCTCTTTCCGCTGACGGAGAGATTCCTTTTCCCCCAAATGAACACAATGCATGCACTTACTGTGACTTGTGTACCAACAATGGGATTCTTTAAAAATCCACTTCAAATCAAACTCTGTTAATTTTTAAATTACCTTTTACATGAGACTCCACTTACTTATCTGACATAGCAATTTGTTCCAGCATGGCAGAGCCCGTGTTTGTCTTCCAGTTCCCGGATATGGAAGTTCTCCTGAAAGGGGGAAAACATTACAAAGGCAGCCAGTGGTTTCACATTGCCATTATCAAATGTCTCTGCTTTTCCCATGAGTGCAGCAGCAGTATTGACACCTTTTCCCCAGCTGGCAGCTTGTAACACAACATCTGAACCGTGAGGGGTTGGAAGAGCTTTGTCAGGAATACACTTTCTACTGGAGGTACAAAGAATGGCTGGGAAATTTCTGTCCCCAATTTATTTATTTAAGGGTTTTTTTTCTAAAAGCCCAGCCTGCTTTGATGAAGGGGCAGTGTTAGAAATGAGCTAGTGCCAGCTACAAAGGCACTGAATTATCTGTAGCACAGTGGCGCTGCAAAGGTAAATGTCAAGAAGCTTCAGCTTCTCCTTTCAAACCCACCCCACTGTGTCCCAACACTCAAAAAGCAACACATTTATGTTTCTAACACCTCAGAAGTGATTTCAGGTGTGTTTTGGAGCTGGATTTTGGTTTCTCCTCCAGTGTTCACTCTTTGCTATTTACTGATATAACCTAAACACTCTGTGTCAGTTCACCTTCTTCGATTTAGCCTCTAAGAAAGAAAAAAAAACCCATGTAAAGTTTTTTTCCTACTCAGACCTTAGGACTGCTCCCAGGGCTGGGAAGATTACTGCTTTGTGAAAGCTAAATGCTGTACTGGGAACAGGCTATTTCTGTGTCAGTTCACCTTCTTCAATTTAACCTCTAAGAAAGAAAAAAAACCCATGTAAAGTTTTTTTCCTACTCAGACCTTAGGACTGCTCCCAGGGCTGGGAAGATTACTGCTTTGTGAAAGCTAAATGCTGTACTGGGAACAGGCTATGGACACAAGTTATGAAGTGTTTCCAGTTAGTAAAATCAAGGCAACATCTGCAATGCATTAAAAGTGTATCAGGCAGCAGCCAGAGCTTTCTCTCCTTTTTCCATTAAGTTAATTACGAGGGTCAGTGGCAATTGTGGGGGAATGTTGACTTTTCTCTGGGACCCTCATAAAATTTGCTGGACTTTAAAGCATAAAGTTCTTCTGTGATGGCATGTTCTGTGTTGTGGGAGAAAAGAGAGATGGGAAGGGAAGGGGAAGGAAGGGGAAGAGGAAGAGGAAGAGGAAGAGAAGAGAAGAGAAGAGAAGAGAAGAGAAGAGAAGAGAAGGAGAAGAGAAGAGAAGAGGAAGAGAAGAGAAGGTGCTTGTTGAGTGCTGTGTGTAAGGGAACCTTCCCCAGCAGAGAGGCTGTGTTGTGATTTCTGCTCAGTTTTTAAGGTGGTGTTTATATAAATGTGCCTGCTTAAAAAGGAATAATTTTAGGCTCATTACTACTCCATACAGACTTTTGGCATCAGAGAGAAAATCCCACAAATCACAGTTCAGTCCTCTTGCAGACTTCTCATGGGAATTCATCAGAACACACTCTTTTAGGTGTCTTTTAGGAAGGAAGATGTGACCAAATCAGGGGAAATAGTTATCCTGAAGGCTTTTAGCCAGTATTTAACTCCAGATGCTCAGCTGCAGTGATGGAATCCCAGCACCACTGACTAGAGAGGCAAAGATGGCCAGATTTAAGCCCTATTTTCCCTCCACACTGGGAAAAGCTTCTGCAGAGGTCTCCAAATGGATGCTTGGCTGGCTGTGAGGGTGCTGCAGGAGTCAGAGCAGGGCTGGGGAATGCTGTGGACATAGAATTCACTGGTGGGATCACAGGAGATTGTGTGTTTGACACAGATGAACTCCAGAATGAGAGATCATGGTGAACTGATCCAAAACTACCCACCCAGACACCCTAAGCCCTAGAGATGATTTCTGTAATTATATATACATGAAACATGTAGGTTTCCCACCCTTCTTCACTTCTGATTATTGCCAGGAGCCTTTCACATCATTATTTCCTCCTCTTTAACCAAACACTGAACAATAAATAAAACAACTCCTACACCTTTAAGTGCTTTACACTTAGGCTTAACATGTTTGCACTCGATTTGGTCTTTGCAAGAAGGAAGAACTGTTTTAGAATTGCTGAACAATTCATAGTAACTTGAGCTTCCCCTTTTCCAACACCTTCCTGCTTTATTTAGTAGCATTTGCAGCATCCAATCCAAATTGCTGGGACAGGGACTTGTCATTAGAAAAATATGTAGAAATGTCTGCCTACTATTCTTGGGTAGGCAGCCTGCTCTGTGGTTTGATCCTCCAGCACTATTCCTTTGCTTGATGTGCTTTAATTTTGGTCTATTGACCTTTTGATCAAAGAACTTTAAGACTTGGACTTGCAGTCCTGCTTTTGGAGGGAAGATTTAGATACAGAGCTTTTGTACTTCTGTTTTTCTACATGGTGTGTGACCCTTTTAAACTGGATTTCCTTGAAGTCAGCTGAATGCTGCCCGGGTGCCCAGGGCAGTTAAGTGTGTGTCACACAGCCTCCAGAGGGGCTGTGGTATTTACAGGGATCCAATCCTACTTTTTTGGCCATAATCTCTACTGACAGACGATAAGCACCAGAGTTTGGTGACTCATGGATCCACTTAAACCACAATTTCCCACAGAATTATAAACCCGAGGCTCTTAATAACTCTCTTTAAACTACAAAAACAAATGTTCAGCTGGTATTTTTTGTGGTGGCTCTCTAAGCGCTCTGTTCCTGTGTCACAGAGCAAAATGAGAACCAGCTGTAGAACAATATTCTACTGACATCATGTATATGTATGTGCACATGAAGAATTCTTCAGACGTTTGGTAAATCTTCTCCTTTCCACGCTGCTTTGTAATAACGAGTCCGTATTTCATTGTGGTGTGTGATTTAAGTGGATGAAAGAATCTGGAGAAAAAAATGATCGCTAGGCTTTTAGCATTTGGATGAACCCAGAGTTTCTGAGTAGAAACTTAAAAATAAATAAAAAGGTAGGAGGAACAGGCTGTCATTTTAACTTATTTTTGCTGTCCCTTAGGCCAACTGCTTCTTCTGCAGAGAAGAAACATTTATGTTTCAGAATGATAAATTTACCATGGTTAACTCTTCCAAAATTATTCCTGACGCTGAACAGCATTTAAATTTCAAGTCAAAGGGGAAAAAAAAAGTGGGGCTCTCTTCTACAAAATATTGTGGTCCAATTTCTATCACAGGGGATGAGCCCAGTACTGCATCTGGTACCTGGCCACGTACTGGAGCCATCAAGTGCTGGGCCTTATCCCTAAACTCTGCCCTTGAGAGTGTAAGAGTGGGAAAAATCAGCTCTATTTATTTGGGAAGGGGAAAGATGGGAAGCACGACTCAAGGAATCTGCCTGTCAAAGCACCGACAGGAGAGAAAAGAGAGGAAAAGAGAGAAAAGAGAGGAAAAGAGAGAAAAGAGAGGAAAGCCCCATGCAGCCCTGCAGAGTGGCATGGGAAGGTCTGTGGGGAGAAGAGGGCTGGGACTGGGAGCAGGGCCAGAGCAAGGCTGGGGAATGGCACTGAGGAGGATCCAAGGGCTGAGGGACATCCTGGGCACTGGGAACAGCTCTGGCATGAGGGACACGACTAAGGGACAGGAAGGCTGGAGCAGTCTGGGAAAACAGCAGGGCTGGAGCACGGCCCGGCCCAGACAGGAGGAGAAAGGGACACTGGTGGTGCTGTCAGAAGAGGAGGATGGGAGTCCTCAGAGAGGGGAAATCCAGGGAAAGTCAGGTCTGGAGCAGCAGTGTGAGACAAACCAACAGAATTGCAATGAACCCTTCTGGGAAGGCTGGGGGATAAAAGCTGTAGCATCTGTTTAAGGTTCTCGAGCCTACAGGGAGAGGTGGGGAAGGCCCAACACACCTGAGTTCCACAGGGAGCTGAAATCACAGTCCTGGCATGAGGGACACGACTAAGGGACAGGAAGGCTGGAGCAGTCTGGGAAAACAGCAGGGCTGGAGCACGGCCCGGCCCAGACAGGAGGAGAAAGGGACACTGGTGGTGCTGTCAGAAAAGGATGGGAGTCCTCAGAGAGGGGAAAGCCAGGGAAAGTCAGGTCTGGAGCAGCAGTGTGAGACAAACCAACAGAATTGCAATGAACCCTTCTGGGAAGGCTGGGGGATAAAAGCTGTAGCATCTGTTTAAGGTTCTCGAGCCTACAGGGAGAGGTGGGGAAGGCCCAACACACCTGAGTTCCACAGGGAGCTGAAATCACAGTCCTGTATCACCAAAACCACCGAATATTCCAGAAACCTCTGCATCCTCGTGAGCTTTTTGGGTGTCCTGCCTTGCTCACTGTACAGCTCACATTTCCGACACACAGATTTTGCAATTTCCAGCGAATTCTGGGTTCAGAAGGACTGGGGGTCCACACTGAGGGTGGATCTGACCCCTGGGAACTGTGCTTCCACCAGATCTGTGCTTTCCTGAGCCCCTCACATGTGAGGGAGCAGGGATTTCTGAGCAGTTTTGGGAAGGCCAGACCTTGGATGTTCTTTCCCAAGGGGCCCTTCAGTGCCAGGTCAGGGCAGAGCAGCAGATCCTGTGCCAGCAATGTCTGGGTGAGAACCCAAGAGTGTGTGGCCTTCCAATATCAACCCAAGGAGAGAAATTCTTCACCTTCTCCCACCCTGGTTTCTATTTCCTCATGGCTGTTCTAAATTATTTGATTCTTAACATCAGCCCTGTCTTTTAAATTATAAAACATTTTATGGATTTGCTTTAACCCAACTCCAGCTTCTCTCAGTATTTATGGTTTGCTTGCAATTTTTTACTGATAAAGAACTTAAATGTACCTTACAAATGATTTACAAGGATTCACTGATCCCTCCAATGTTCAGGAGTTCCTTGAGAAATATCCCTGTGTTGGGATGTGGGTGTGGACATGTAACTGTGTATTTTTATCCATGTTCTGTCCATTATTTTATCCATGTTCTGTTACATTTTCCCTGCCTCGGGATTGTAAATGTGAGGGAACAAAGGCATGAGATGACCTAACTTGTCACAAAAATGAGATATGAAACAAGTGTTTGTCAGATTACACTGCTTGGTAATTGAAAGAGTAAAAATCTGCATAAACACAGGTACCAGAGCTCAACTGCTGCATCACAACTGGTTTGCTGCTCCAGCTGAATGTCATTGTGAAGCTGAAACATCCCCTGAGCCTCTCCTTTAGCCATGGCCTTTAAACAAACACCTGGGCTCCAACACGAGAAGAGGTTTTCATGATCTCTGTGAAGGGCACTGCAAGATTGGATTGTTTCTTTGATGGGTTATGTCAAAAGGAGAGGACTTTGTTCCATTAAAGTGTGACAGTTGGTTTGTTTGTGTGAATGAATGCCATCCAACTTATCCGCAGAGGGGAGAAGAAAAATTTGAAGAAAATTTGTCCTTAAATTGATGAAAAGGTACGAAGAAATCTGAATTAACAAGCCTTCTGTGCAACCAAACCCTCTTCCAACTGCTCCTTTCTTTAAATGAAAATACTGAACACAAGTTGGCAGCAAAACCCCTCTGGCAGGCTCCCCTGGTGTCTCATCCTCCTCCTCCCAGCCACAATCAACTGATCAAAAGACTTTGGATAAATCCAGAAAGTCTAAAATACTCTTTCCAGAGAGTGTCACAAGGGAGGCACCATCTCAGAGACTCATCCAACACCCTTTAATCTCACCGGTGCTTATCAGTTTTGAAACAAAAGCAGGAAAGAACATAAGGATTTGGCTCACATGTATGCCTTGTAGTTACTGCCTATTTTTTGGATCCTGATGTCATATTTGGAGTCTATGAAGGGCTCAGTGGTGGCGTAGGTCTGAGTGAGTGCTACCACGCTGGCTATGTCCTGAAAATCGTAGTGGTTGTCTACCTTGATCTGGAGCCATCAAGCCACAAGAACACAGCACAGACAAAAGAAGAAAAGAGTAATTAGGAATAAAATGTAGAATTTGGTTGCAAACGGCATTCATGAGAAGCAAGGTTTTGACAAAATTTAAAAAAATTATATTTAATTTGATTTCTAGGTTCTATAACATTTCTGCTTTAAAATATCTATTTTTCTAGGCAAAATATTACCTGCTCATTTGGAGAAAGCAATTTGCGGGCACTGAAATTTTATTTTGGTTTTTTAAAAATTTTGTTTGTTTATTTGTTTTTGGTGTTTTTTTGTTTGCTCTTGGTTTTGTTTGTTTGTTTGTTTTTGGGGTTTTTTGTTTGTGCTTTTTTTGTTGGTGGTGGTTTTTTTTGGGGTTTGGTTATTTTTTTTTTTTATTTTATGTTAGTCAATTATAGATCGGCTGGCCTCAAAATTTTGGTTTTTTAGGTGTGACATGCAGTTCCAATTGATGTAGATTCTTATTGGTTCTGTAAATTGCTCAGGTAACTGAATATATGTGAAGCCCACCAGGAATTTTCACATCATGCCATCAGCTTTTCCTGTGAGGGAGGAGCTGAAGGGTCCTGATATCCTGGGGAGGGCAGGAGCACAGGGAGCACAGAGCTGGCTCCAGGCAGCAGATTTTATTCTCATTTTTCCATTATTCTCATTTTCCCTCTGCTCTGAAGGAGCTGGGCTTTCCAGGGGTGGGATTTCCCAGGTGTGGAACGCTCTGCTGAGGTGGTGGGTGACACTAAAACATCAGCTTTTACACCTTGAAGGAACAGGGGCATGGACAAGTAGGGAATGCTGATCTAGGGGACAGGAGAAGGAGATTTTGGAGGGCAGAGGGCGGACAGAGACATCACCTCTGGACAGGGAGGACAATCCCTGTGGGGACTCAGAGCTGGACAAGCAGGAGTGAAAGGGGCTGGGGAGAGAAGCCGTGGGCAGTGGAGAACAGGGAAGTGGGGCTCTGATCCAAAGGGCATTTCAGAGTGGTGAGGAGCAGGCAGGGTCAGGGTTTCCCATGGTGGCCAACATGAGGAGTTTGCAGCTCTTTGCAAGCCCAGCACCCTGGCTGCTTCTCCTCCTCTTGGGACTGGAAAACCTGAGGGCCATGGCTAGGAGATGGGACAATAAACGGAATTTGGTGGAGATAAAAGCCTGAAGTCTAAGTATTTGCCCCCAGCTCTCAGATGGAGAAAGACACAGAGTAATTTGCCATCTGAGAGCCACAAACCAGACACAAGGTCTGGTTTCAACTTGATTTTCTGAAGACTGACTGGCCTGTGTGGGCTTAAATGGGACCTGTGGAAATCTGCTGCCAGCAGCGTCCTCAGGGAGGGCTGGGCTTGCAGGGGAACCTTCATTTGCTCTCTGATTGAATTTAATCTTGGAGGGTTTTAAATATTGCACAGCTAAAAGGAAAAATAACTTCTAGACATTTGATACGAGGAACATTTCTGTGCATTTTTTCCCCTTTTCTCTAAATGAGAGGCGAATATCCAAAGTACAGCATAAACATTCTAACACTTCACATATGCAATCCACAGAAAGTGCAGGTTAATTAGTGGTTCACTCTGCCCTCCATTAAATTGGCTGCTGGACTTCCAATTATTTACTAAATATGAAACAAAGCAAAACAGTCATAGGCAAAAAATAACAAACAGTACAAATTGTAATCAAATCAGTTTTCTATCTGAAAATAGCGGCAAATATTATGTTCATGGAGCTTTGGAGATTCAGGATGATAAATGTAACTATTCTCTGATTAATTGTTTTAAAATCTCACCACTTCTAGCACTGAAATGTTTTCAGTGAGTGAAGTTACCCTGCAAGGATTAGGAGTTGGCACTGATAGCAGTGAAAATGGGATTTAAATGCTCTCCCACTGGCCCTGCACTGTGAGATAAGTGACACCAAAACATCTGTACTCACCACTGAAATGCAATTACTTTGGAGAAAGAAAGCAGCAGTTATACACAGGTATGAAACAACCACAGACAACACATCAAGACAGGAAATCAATGTTCAGTACCAAGCTGAAACCAACAAAGAACCAAGGCAAAACCTTCCCACACTCCCAGCTCCAAAATTTGGATTGTGCAACAGACCTTGACTCTTGAAGAGTTTCAGTGCAGACAATACATTAATAAACAAGGTTTTGCTTGCAGAAAGCATCTCAGCACAGTTCAAAGCACATCCCACACAGGGCAACTCTCAAACTGCAAAGGCCAAGTTGTAAAAATACTTTGGGCATGTTTAATTTTCCTAAAGAGAGATGCTTTCTGAGCAGGGACGGGCAGAGATTTGCAAGGGGGCATCCAAGACAGGGTCTGGGCAGGTCAAAGGTAAAACCTCAGGGGAGAAAGGAGCATGCACAGGTAAGGGACAAACCCCAGGCTCCCAACATGCAACAAGTAGCATCTGCACCTTTCCCATGCCTGAGTGAGCATGTCCAATCTTCACAACAACAGGAAAGGTTGGCATTGTGAGCTGGGGGAAACAAAACAGGAACATTAGAGAAGAGAGCGACCACGAGCTCCGAGATTAAACAGCACAGTCTAGGGAAATTATTGAAGCATGATTGTAATGGGGCCAAAGCTCTTCTGGCCATGTGGAGCCTCCAGCTGTTCATCCTCTGTGTTCTGGTGACTTGCTGGGTATATTTTCTGAGCACAGTGTTATTCCCAATACAGACAATAGGTGTTCTGAACTTTTCTTAATATTAACATCTTTTGTATGTCTTTTTACTTCACTTTTTAGACTGAATTTCTGCTGGTTCCTATTTCAAGCTTAGCTTCTGTGTTTTCTGACTCACAAACTCACACTCTTCAAGGCTATAATCAGCAATGATGCCAAATTAACCACCTTTTCCCTTCATTTCCACTATTTACAAATGTAAATCCATTTTCTGGCCACTTATAAAAGCAGTGATGTCTAATTCACAAAAACTTGCTTTAAAGGCAGATCCTAGTTTGTGCTACAGAGCATCCAAGTTTTCTAGAGAAGGCTCCAGCTTCTGCCCAGAATGCAGGGAATAATTTGGAATAATCCAACCACTGAGTACGAAATCAAATATACAGAAGCATATGAAAACGCTTTATCCACTGATATGGGTGTGCTTCTGACCCTCAAAAAGTGCTGTGAATGACCACTTTTACTTCCATCATTCATTTGAAAAAGTTTGAGATCTCCCAGTCATGGCTATGCTTGGCACTGCTTTTTTTTTTTTTTCACTTAAAATTTGCATCTATTGAACTTCTATGACTCAAGCACAAACCTCATTTCACAGAAGAGGTTTATAACTAGAAATAAAAAGCTGAACACCTTCAACAAATAATTAAGCTGGGCAGCAGCAGGACAGTGTTACAGGCTCCAAACCCTCCCTTTAGTGCCACATTCCAGCACAGTAAATACAGTCAGAGGAAAAGCTGATGCTCTGGAACATAAACTAAGAATTGTAGAGGTTTTGTGAGACAATGACTGGTTTCAGAATGACCAGAAGCACTTGCATTACACAGTAGAGGTCACTCCTACAGGAATTTAGGAATGAAGTTCTTGCTAAACTGCAGCAACCAAAGTTCCTGCTTAGTCAACATCCAGTCACTGCTGTATCACTTTCAGATTTTAAACCAGGCTCTTTTTTTCAGTTCTTGAGGGTAGGAGGGGAACAAATCATTGCCAGACTGGAGATTCATCAGGGCAGCAGCACATTTCAGTGTCTGAGCTGCAAACCACTGCAGTGGGGTTTGTCATGGAAATGCTGCAGACCTCTGAGCGCAGCAGTGCAGATGGCACTCCTGTAATTAGCAGGGCCACGGATCTTCCTGTGATCCCAAAGCTGTGGAATCCTCTGTGGCCCACAGCAACCAACACAACTCACATTAAAAGAAAAAAATAAAAAAGAAAAATAAAGGAAAAAAAAAAAGAAAGAAAAAGGAAAAGGAAAGGAAAAAAAGTGCTTTCTCCCTCAGAAAAGTGCAGTAACATCATTTTCTCTGGACCCTGTTCCTGAGATTCCACGTGCTCCACCACATCCCAGCACAGACTGAGGGAACAGGCTCTGGATGCTGCAGCTCAAACTTCAGAGAGAAAAAAAAACAGGCAGGCAAAACTCAGTAATCCCAGCACTTCTCTTGTTTTTAGCTGTCCCTGGGACAGGTCCACGAGGTTCAGCAGTTGTTATTTTGGGGTTTGAGCAGCTTTTCCTTTACTCCTGCTCTGATTTTATCTATCCCAGTTCTCCCTCTGCCGTGGCGCAGCACCTCTCTGCCACCAACCCATGGCCAGGGCGTTGTTCTGCCAACAAAACCTGAAATGCCCATGGAAATGAAAGAAAACCTGACCAGAATCCTCCCATCCCATTCCCAATCTGCTTTTTTCCAGGCACTCCCCAGACTATTCCTGCATTTGGTGAACATTATATATAATACAAGTGTGATAGTGACAGTGAAACTTTACCAGCATCACGGATTTCCCTTTAATTTGCATTATAATTACTGCTAATTATAATTTATATTAGAATTACTGCCATAAAAGCTGTTTGCTTTGAAAAGTATCACTGAGGGGAAAAGGCCATTTTGCAAAATATTGTGGTTTTTGGAAAGCTTTCTTAAAATCAGGAAAGTAAAAATTCTACAAATTCTAAACATCCTAAAAATTCTGCATACTAAAAATTCAGAAATTTAATTCTGGCCATTAAAAACTGAAGGGAAAACCCCAAAAAGCGACCAGAGACATTGAGAAATCTGCCAAGTTCATAAATGTGAGAGATGGAAGGGTCTGCACTGCATGAGCCCTCCCACACACATACAATATACACAAAATACAGCAGAATAAAAAATGGGATTACCAGGAGTTCTAACTTAAATAGCAAGGCAATAAACTACCATTATTAATTAGACAGAAACCAGAATATTTGGCAAAGGTGGAATAAAATTTTCAAAATGTATAGTCATGTATGAATATGATTGGACTGGTAATAAATATTGGTAGCAACTGGAAAAACTCCTGGCTCCTTGTGGGAGCACATATGCAAACAGCTGAGGAGCACACTGACATTGGCCAATCCAATGCCATTAATCAAAATAACAGCAGTGAATATTCAAATTTTAGCCAGGGAGGATAAATGTCACTTCTAGATGAGCATGAAAATCTAAAAAGCCAGTTCATTTCATTATTCCCTTACTGATGTCACAACAGCAAGGATAATTATTATTAATTATGCTTTCTTAGTGTTTCACCTGCATCAACTTTTAAATTTTAAGAATTTTTTGTACTAAGAGCTTAAAAGGCAAATACTTTATTGTATCAATCTTCAGGATCTGGCCACTTAAAGATTTTGTAATGGTGCTTAGCTTGTTTTTACTGTAAAAAGGAATGTTCTAGTTTGATAAAATTCCAGAATACCTCCAATATCACCCTGGCTAATTTGTGATACAGGCAATTCAGTTACCCAGTAGGTGGCTACAGAATTAACCAGCACAGTCCCCATCTGGATTGTTGTTTGCATTTTTCCACATGGAATGGAAATCCCTACCCTTCCACGCTGCAGAAATTTTCTGGAGTTTCTAAGTCTGGTTAATGGAGTGTCATCCTGCAATTATAAGTCTATTAATTAAAAATAAAACCTTCAAATTTAAGCTACATACATTATTATAAGTTCTACTGCAATTTAAATATTTTTGAACAATTTCAATACAAGCTGGGGTTTTTTTCCCAAAAGATATAATTTGAATTTTTCTAAATTTACTTTGAATTCTTTTAACTGAGACATAGTGTGAAATATAATCAAAGACTTCTATAAAAATAGAACCAGGCAAAGATTATCTGAAAAAAAAAAAAAAGTAAAAAAACCCCTCTGCTGGCAACAATACAGACAAAAGAGTTTTCTGAAGGTGGTATTCACCCTGCTTTCATGTCCTCGGGGTTGAGCTGACTAGAAAAGCCACAACAGGAAAAAAAAAAAGAGGGGGCGGAGAAGCAGTGACAAAAAAACCCCCAGATGTTGCATAAACATGACTTACCTCAAGTTCAGTGTTTAAATATTTATCTTTCCAATAATCCCCAAGCAAAGTTCATTTAACCACTCTAGTTCCATGTAATTTATTTGTGGAATATGCATCAGCCTAAATCTAATTTTGCTCTGCTTACTTTGGAGAAAGGAAATTAAAAGTGAAATAATGAAGGTGGCCTTTTATTCATTTTCTTTTTTTTTCTTTCCCAGAAACAGGCAGGAAGAGCCCTAAATCAATAAACAAGCAGCAGATGTACTTTCTCTGGTCTGTTTGGTTTGCAGAAAACACAATTTCCAGATCAAGTGGGGGCTCAGCCAGGCAGGAGCTCCGTCACCAGCAGGGCCAGTCCAGCCCTGGCCTCTCAGCAGAAAACCCCACACCCCACCAGCTGCTGGCCTCAACAAACACAGGCACAATTTTGGGGATGTGGAAGCACATTTTCCTCTCGGCAGCTAAAAGTATGTGTAAAACTCTCTGCAAGGAATAGGGTTTAATACCCCCAAGCCAAGGGGGAGGCTGAGGTGATTTGTGTTATCTTTTTAGCTAGGGCAGTGAAGACACTGAAAGTTCAAGGGGATAAAAAAGAGTAGAGCTTAAATTTATCCGTGGGAGAGGAAAATGTGCCTGATCTGTGAGTCCTGGACCCAAAACTTAAGGTTGAAATGGTTTGAGAGCTAAGTGCAACACAGGTCCCAGGGCCACCTGAGTTCCCAGGGCCACCAGTGGGAATTGGCGCAGAACTGAGCTCTCTTTGAGACTGCCACCACCACCTGGAGAGTCTGGAGCTGCACAAAGCAGCTCCACATGCCCCCTGAAATCAGCCAAAGCTGGAGAGGATCCTGGATTATGGAGTAACTCCACCAGACCACCTGGAGATCCCCCTAAAACACCTTTGTCCTCACAACTGGTGTGTCTGTTAAAAAAATCCCAGTGATCTAAATGAACTCAGAGTGATCTGTTGGCAGAAAGTCTGCTGTTTTCAAACCTGCACAGCATGAAAACAGAAATTGTCGTTAGGAAGGAAAACACAAAGTGTAATTGCAGTGAATCAATGAGAGCAGCTCCCACAGATCCCTGGAAGAAGCTCTGAAGACAAAAACTCGGCAGAAACAAATTCTATTTTGATTGTGGCCTGTCAGTGTTTAATTCATCCTTCCACCAGCTGTTTGGAAAACTGCTGCCTCGAAAGTCAAGTAACACTTTGCCACCTTATAAAACAATTACCCAAATTGCTGTGCCTATAAACCATAAGGATTTTTTGCTGTAGTATTTCAGAGGTGACAGCTCTAAATACCCTCCTGTTTGAAGCAGGCTGTAGCTCATACAGAGGCACTGGAATTTAAAATCCATAAAATCTCACCTGAAATATTTCATGAAATGCTATTCTGAATTTTCAACATGATTGTACAGGTGAGGTACAGGATGTGTAATGTGACTTCATCAGGTAAAATGAAAGTAGATTTTAGAGGTAATTGCAAGGCCAAAGGAAAACCAGGGAGGGAAGAACAGAGTCAAAGCACTAAGTAGGCAACAGATGAATTCTGGGTTGCTGGAATCTGAAATGCAAAGAACCCTCAGAACTTTGGGCCTGTAAGCCAAAGCTTAGAATTAAACACAGGATTTGATCTGAGACCTTCCAAACTTAAGTGCTAGAGGCAAGAATGTGGATTTATAGCTTAAAGCAGAGACACGTTAAGCTAAGTAAAAGAAAGTTTAGAGTTTTAGAGTTTAAAGTATAGAAAAATAAGAGTACTTACAGAAGTAAACAAGGAGTTTAGAATGCAGTAGTGTAGGTTTGTGTGTCATAACGTGATTGGCTAAGAAAGCTTACACTGTAGCCTGAGTCCATAAAATGAAATATTTAAAGATTAGGTCAAAACCATAAATATCCTTGTTAGCAGTATTTTATTAGTCAAGAACTCCTTAAAAAGTCTTGTCACTAAGGGTCTTTTGACCTTCTGAACTATGCCGCAATGATGTGAGCCAAGCTCACCCTTCCTACCTGTGTAGGAGATAAGAAAAATAAACTGCATCACCAAAAACAATTCAAAGGGCCCATCTCAATTTCCTTCCAAAATTCCCCACAAGTGAATTATCACAATGGGTCTGGAAAATCCTGCCTGCTACCATTCTCAAATAAGATTAATTTTCCCCAGTAAAGAGAAAATCAGATTGATATGGACAAAAAATTGCACTCTGTGCACTGGCAGAAGCTAAAGCACGGAGCAGGCAGACCAAGCAGAAGACCCTGAGTAGACTCAAACTGCCTGACAGCTGGAAGGGACAAGGAGGTGGCTGTGGCATGTCCCATCACAATGAAAAACCCTTCAAAGAGCTGTCTGGACAATCCCTGTGCAGCAGAGTTCAGTGCTGTCTGACCCAGCTCCCAGGCTGAGCGTGAACTCCCAGAACTCACTCCATGAACTCACCAGAGCAATGCTGGTGAGCAGCACCAGGGACGGACAGACTGACTGCCTGTGCTGCCTCCCTGGAAACATGGCAAGGGCAGGAGCAAATCCAGCACAGCCAGGCACAGGGGATCCTGCAGCCCTGGGTTATCCCAGAATCCTGGGTTTTCCTGAAATCCTGGTTTATCCCCAGCCCCAGGTTATCCTGCAGCCCTGGGTTACCCCAGAATCCTGGGTTATACTAGAATCCTGGGTTTTCCTGAAATCCTGGGTTTTCCTCTGCCCTGGGTTTTCCTCAGCCCTGGGTTATCCTGAAATCCTGGGTTATCCCCAGCCCTGGTTTATCCACAGCCCTGGGTTTTCCTCAGCCCTGGGTTATCCTGAAATCCTGACTTTTCCTCAGTTCTGGGTTATTCCCAGCCCTGGTTTATCCCCAGCCCTGGGTTTTCCTCAGCCCTGAGTTATCCTGAAATCCTGAGTTTTTCTCAGTACTGGTTTATCCCCAGCCCCAGGTGTGCCCCAGCCCTGGGTTATCCCAAAATCCTCAGTTCTGGTTTCTCCCCAGACCTGGGTGTTCCTGCAGCCAGAGGCTGAGAGAGGAGGGGATGGGCAGGTGGGAAGGGCAGGAATCCCCGGGGCAGAGCTGCCCTGGCACAGCTGCCCTCCCCACCGAGCTCTCAGCTGATGGCCCTCATTCATTCCCCCATCACCTGTCACCTCCAGAGGACAAAATATCCCAAACCCTGGGGTCCAGGGGAATCACCCAAGAGCAAGAGCCCAGTGGATTTAGTGCAGGACTCTGGGGTTTGTTAAAAGACAATCAATGATGGCAACTCCAATTATCAGTGCCCACACTGCTGTTAGTGGGCACTGATAATTGGAAAAAATAACAAAAATAATGTGCATTCTACACGTTCAGTTGAAAGTATTTAATTCTCTTCTATATCTAGAAGATAGTGGACAACTAATTTGTAACTTGTCATAAAATAATTTTAAAATTTTGTTCTGAGCATAATATTCTGCTATTGATTATGTAATTAATTGGATTGTACTAGGTAGAAAAGTCTTTAGGACACCCAGAACATGGCTGGAAGTGTTGTTCTGGAGAATCCTGGACAAAACGTGCCTTAGAGACCAGTAGAGAAGAGTGTTTGCCCAACATATTTCTTTATTATTTGAATTTTGTGAATTCAATTTGATATGGAATTTTATCAACTTGGTCTGTTTAAATCATCTGTAACAGCAGCCCTGTGATAGAAACCAATCAATGACTCCCAATGAATTCCTTCATCACTTCCCAGTCCGAGGTTTGGGATTTGGCAGTCCCAGGGGGCTGAGCCCAGGCACTGGCACCCCTGCCCGGGGCTTTTCCTGCCTCCCTGCAGCTGAAACTCCCCGTGCACACTTCCAGTCCTTCTCATCCCTCACCTCACAGGAAAGAAGTCCGTTTCTTCTAGGTAAGAACAGAGATGTTAACAGGTCTAAATTATTTTCAGGTGTTAGTCCTGGGCTGGGATCCAACCTTATGATTTGAAGCCAAAACTTTAGACTGGAAAAGTAAAAAATCCAAGTGTGGCTGCGTGAAATCAGGACATTTTGTACAGGATTCCTGGCTCAGTGTTTGGTGTAGGTCTAAAGGCTAAAAACTAGACCCAGTTCTAATAATTCTGAATGTTTGTGGGTTTTTTTCCTAACAGACAGAGTGTGTCTTGAGGGGGATGGGAATTAAAAAGAAAAATAATCAGAGCACTAATATTTGTATAACTGTGGAGAAATGAAATAAATCTGCTGTTGTAAAGCATGTACACTTCTCTCTAAAGGTAACAAGCTGCTTTGGGCACACCTAAACCTCAGCCTCAACAAAATACATTTTCATGAGCCTGGATTGGAATGGTTCAGGTCGTGTTAATGAATTTTCAATTCCTAGGCTTGATTTGGGTTGTGACAAAACACAGAATTGTTTAAGCAGCCCTGTCCTGCATGCCAATCCAGAGATGTTCTTTATTACTCTCTAATCAAACCTCGGGTTGCTTCCTCATGGAACATTTTTCTTTATAAAAAGAGGGTGCCCACAGGTTACACACATCCAGATTGCCACAGCAACCAAAGCTCTGAAGGTGGAAAGGATTTCTGAATTCTGCATTTATTCCACTGAATTCCACTTCCAATATCAGCCAGGAAATACAGGCACAGATCTGCTCTGAGCAGGATTTGCATTAATAAGGAATGCAGGGAAAGAGCCCTGCCTCCAAAACACACCACTGGGATGTTTTTCCTTGCTATTCTAAATTAAATCTGCGATGAAATAATTTCGTTTAAGATGCCTTTTATTGCGGCTTTGATGTGTAATTGGTTACTCCCTGTAACCAGGGATTGTTGGAGGCTCACAAGCAGAGCATTGAGAGGTTTCCTTTCCATGAATGAAGTTCTGTCCAGCCCGCGAACAGGGACGGCAGCTCAGGAAAATGCCCAGAAGTGCAGGGGAAGGAAGATCGGGGGCTGCGAGCAAACGGAGCTTCAAACAGGACAGCTCTGTTTACTTGCCCAAAATAAGATCGCAGGGCTGGCTTTTAAATCCAAACTGGACGCAAACTCACTCGGAGGAGATAAAACGCTCAGAAAATCAGCTTCAGATCCGCGTAAAAGCCGGTTTTGTGGGAGCTTTTGGCGATTAACATTTCCACTCCCGAGCTTCTTTGGGACGATGTCACCAATAAATGAGCTCTGAAGCGCGGGAAGGCGGAGCCGGGGCTCGGCGCCGGGGCCATAAATAAGAGGGTCCCATGTGCGGGCGACCGGAGCCAGAGAGCACCGGCAGCGCTCGCAGCATCCCCGAGCGAGCATCCCAGCGCGGCCGGGACACCGAGCAGAGCCGTTCCCCCGAGCGGAGCATGAGGCGAGCGGGCAGCGGGAGCGCCGGGAGCCGAGGGGCAGCGCTGGTGCTGGCGCTGGCGCTGGCGGCGCTGCCCGCGGCCGTGTCCGGCTGCAGCTGCGCGCCCGCGCACCCGCAGCAGCTGCTGTGCGATGCTGCGCTCGGTGAGTCCGCGGCCCGCGGAGCCTCCCCGCGGCCCTTCTGCAGCCGGGGAGTGGGGAAAGGGCTGGTGGGAGCTGTGCTGCACTGCCCCTAACGCAGGGGAAGAGATGCCGGGGGTTGCTCTGCGTCCCGCGCGCTGCCAGAAGGGTTTGTGGTTATAAATTGCTGGGATCGCTGGGTTGGAGAGTGGCTTTTTAGTTATTTTTTTACGTGGTTTTATATATTTTATATATATTTTTATATCTATTTTAATATCTATTTTAATATCTATTTATATATATTTTTATCTATTTTTATATCTATTTTATATCTATTATATCTATTTTATATCTATTATATCTATTTTCTATCTATTACATCTATCTCTATATCTCCATACCTCTGTCTCTACATCTCTATACCTCTATCTCTACATCTATATATCTATATACACCACTTTTATATTATAAACACTATATATAATTATATTTTTATCTTTTATATGTATTATATATTATATATGAATGTCTTTTTATCCTTCGCGTATTTTATATAATTTATGTATTATCTTATACTTTGTATGTTTTACATCTATTACATATAACAGATATTTCCATACTTTATATGTGTTATATATTTTATATATAACATCTATTTTATGTATTTGTATTTTAGGTCCTAACTTAGAAAATACCTGAGCTTTCGAATATCTACTGCTATATGTAGCAGTATCTACTATATATATAATATTCTATCTAAATAAGCCTGCAATGTGTAAAATGCTCATATAGATATTTTTATAGCACTTCAGGGAAAAAAAAACCAAACAAACAAAAATAAAACAAAAAACCCCCAAAACACAAAAACCCAAAGGACCACAAAATATAAGTCCCCAGTGCTAACTTGCTGAAACTTTTGACCTTTGCTCTGCTACTCTATACTTTCTTTAGTTTATTCTTGGGGTTTTCTATAATTTTCTGGAGCAGGAAGCTGATGGGCCCTTTATTTTCTGCAGATAAACTGGCCACAGCAGCTCTGTGTGACCACAGCTCTGCAGCTTTGGGACAATTGTGCCTCATGAGAGCCAGGCAGGACCACAGTTGTCAAACAACTCATAGAAAGAGCCTAAAGTACCCAAAATTAGGCTGCAGGGGGATGAGAAAATGTGACATTTTGAGAAAATGTGACATTTTGCAGCCTTTTGATTTCATTAGCTCAGGCTGAGGCTGGTTAGCTTCCATGGGGTGTGAACAGTAAATGTAGAACATGAGTTTCCAAAGTGCCACAGAATTAGCATCTCTATGGGGCAGGCAATACCTTCTGCATACTGATTCATTGCTTTTATGCCCTGACAGAAAATCTTTGTGGCCATGACAAACTCTGAGCTCTGTTTGTGGCCATCAGTTAAATTGGTTTTTAATCTGCCCGTGTTCAGCAATCCCTTTCGTGGAGGTACCTCCACCAGGCATCACAGGCTTGGGGGTGTTTAAGGAATGGAAGGAAATAAAAGTTGTGCTACAACTAAATATGTGTGCATTTAACTGTGCACGAGAAAGTGACAGCGTTTCAACAGACTTCATGTAAAAATTTTCCAAAATTAACAATTTTACAGTGCAGAGGAAACTAAAAATATTCATTATGGGCCACCTTAATGAATATTTTCATTCATAGGGAAGCCATTCTGATGATACAGATTAGTATTTACTAATTTCTTAGATTTATTTTACAAATAGGAACTATATCATGCACTTTTAACTTTTCTACTATATCATGCTACTTTTTATTTAAATACTTATAATAGTTTTATGCTACAATGTTTGGACTTGATGCTCAAGCTCTCACTCCTATAAATATTCCTATCTAAGTAAACTTCCTCTTTTGGCTGAGGAATGTTTATGTCAAGGATCCCTTTGTTCACTATTTATACTTTTAAAATACCATTTCTGTATGTCACAAAACGGGAGATGAAGGGAGTTCTTCACCCCAAGAAGTGCACACATGTTTTTGTGTATACATTTGCATGTACACACACACACACACAAAACCTGCTCTGAGCGTTCATGGCTGAATCACTGGATAATCTTTGGCCACACCAACAGAATGAAACCCCTCGGAAGGAGCAGGAGTGGAGCTGCCTGTCCTGTGTGGGAGGAAGCTCCAGGGAGCAGCTTGGCAGAGCAGCTCCCCCAGGCTGTGCCAGCAGCCTTTGTGCCCAGGAGAGGAGCTGTGCCCGGCAGGAAGGGGCACCCCGGGCTGCAGCCCTGGCCAGGCACTGCTCATCCCCTGGGAACTGGGGCTGTGCCTCCACAGCTGCCTGGGGACACACCTGTGGCCTCGGGGACACACCTGTGGTCTCAGAGACCTCAGGGCCACCTGGCTCCCAGCTGTGTGCTGAGACTGTTCCAGTTCTTCAGTTATTAAATTCATTAATTCATTAACTTCATCCTACCTAGTCACAAACTAGACTCCCTCACAGACTAAACACAGCCAAGGACTCCCTCGCAGGATTTCCCAGAGGATCTTATTAAAATAAAGATGCCCTGACCCAAAACTCCGCAGTAAAACCAGAGATAAAGTCTCAAACGTGCTCGTGGAGCTACCAACCACCACATGTCCTGCAGCCACTGTGTAAAGGCAATATTTTTAATTTCCTCCAGCATGACTATGGTGGAGGTGAAGGGATTGAACTGACGTTCCCCGAACCACCAATTGAATGTGTGAAGCCACTCAGCAGCAGCATTTTTGAGAGATTCAAGGAAAAACAAGAACAGAAATTAATTAAGTCTGGACAAGCTCTTTTGCTTTGCCTTTTGTTAAGATGATTGGTGCTGTGACACTTTGTCCTTCACTGCCAGGAAGGTTTTGTGGCTCTAGGTCCCCACAGGCAGTGCAGAACCTGAGAGAGATCAGGGGATGTCTGACAGAGCTGGAGTCAGGGAGAGCTCCTGGTCCTGCCCAAAACCAGGGATGGGTGGAGAAGCCTGCAGGGCTGAGGTTGGGAAGGACTGTGGCATTTGCCAGGGTACATCAGAAGTGCTGTGCCAGTCCTGCCATCTGCCTGACCTTGTGTTTGTTCACCTTCCCCCAGACCCTTCAGAGGATGTGATTTTGTATAGTGTCGTTATCACTGCTAATAACAAAGGGGGGACTGTTTTCAACCCAGGAACGATTTATTGCTCAGACAAACATCAGTCTTAGGGGCCCTGAGGAGCTAAGAATGATTTATAGCTCAGACAAACATCAGTCTCAGGGGCTGTGAGATTTTAGAGGAGCAAGCAGTCACCCATAGCTCAGGAGCAGTCACAAGTTCTTTGTTACAAGGCAATACAGAATTTCTGACCCAATGGACAGCTGGCACAGGGTTTATTTTGCTTTTCTAACCCATCACCTTTACTCACTTCTGCTGCACTGCAGACACTTTTGTCCAATGGCTTCTGTGTCACTTGCACACAAATGCTTCTGTTATAACTCCTGAACTCTCAGCTCACTCCACACAACCCCACCCCTACACTACAAACCCTTCACCATCTTACCAGTGCAGTTTCTCACTTACTTAAGGCATATTCTTACAACCACAGAAACATAACTTTATGATTTTTCTACTTAATGTCTATGTATTGTATTTTTACATCAATCCAAGCTTCTTCCAAGGCTGCAGATCAAACCCTTCAGTGTCTGTGGAAGTTTCTGTTTTTCTGATTTCCACAGTACAGATTGGAGAAATTGTCATGAGCTTCTCAGTAATTTTAAATTTCCCCCCAGAGCGAGGTAACTCCTCATTTGTAGGAAGTGCCTGGCACCAGGAGATCCACACCTTTGATACAAAAACAGAGATACATCCCTCTTGTGCTCTTTTAAATGTACTGAGTTCCTTCAGCCCTAGCAAACACCTCTGCTTTCCCAGAGGACTTGCCCTGGGAATGGAGGGGTTTAATTAACCAGATGTCCATGTTAATTATCAGTGCTGACCACAATGCCCAGGTTTTCTCCTCATAAAAATGTGGGAGGAGGTGCTGGATAACAAATTCAGTAGTGAGGCCCTGGAGTGCCCAGCCAGCACATGAAAACTCTTTGGATAATTACCTTTTTTTGGAGAGAAACACAGATGCAATTGAGTTAACCAGATAGTGCCAAGGTAACAGATTTCCCTTTTGCCACTGAATTTGTCATCCTGGCCCCAATGCTGGACAAATGCGAGCTTCAAATCAGGCAATCTGGAGGCAAAAATGGGCTGTGGGCAGCACTGATTCCTTCCTGAAGTCTGGCACTTTAAATTCATGCTGGTTTTTCCCCCCTGGGCTATTTTTTGGACAGTAGGAGAAATATATAAATAGTTCACATTTCTTAGCTGTGTAACACCAGTTCCCTTCAAAGTTGGTTGTATTCATTCTGATTTCAACTGTCTTATTGTTTTTTCATAAAAATATATTGAAAATTATATTTTTACTGAACAGCAATGACTAACAGGTCTTGAATACATATGTATATATAATATAGCTTTAGAAGACATTTCTGCAGCTTTGGAGAAGAGTGGCACATTTCAAAATAGGATGGAAACTTTACAGCTGGAGCTTGGCAGCATTTTCAGCCCATTAAAATCTCCCAAGATCACGGAGATCAAGCACTGTAAAGATGTGCCAGATGATATATTAAATTTTAATCACATTTAAACATAACAGTACAAATTTTCTTTAAATACGCCAGAATTAAGTTTTCAGAGTCAGCTCTTCTGGGAGATAATCACAATATGCTGTTTCTTCATTACTGAGTTTCAAATGAAAACCTTCATGGCTCAGTGTCCCACAATTTTGCCTCTCTGCCATGTAATATCCAGTTTTGTGCTGGAATGGATTAATTTGAACATTATTAGGTGGGAAGTAATTTTTGCGTGGTGGGAAAAAATCAGCTTTGGGGAATGCACTGGAAAGGGGGATGGTGCTTGTTCCAAGTGAGGAGAGGAAAGGTGAGCCGTGAAATTCAAGGTTTTATTGTTATTTTATTGTGTGATACCCGCTGGCAGTGC